CAGCGGACAGAGAACTAGGGACTGGGAACACTTTAAATACACACAGGAGGAGGGGATGACGAGACACACCTGGGATCCATGAACCATCATGGGGAACACCTGGGACAAATTAAACATGGGAAAGGAACACCTGGGGAGCAAGACACAGACAAAACATGGAACAGAGTCTGACATCCTCACCCGTATGCAAATTCCTTAATAACAGCATGCCAACTGAATCTTCAAACATTGTTTTCAAAATATGCAGCTTATTACTGGTGAATCTTGGAGAATCAAAAATGAATTGAGAAAGGACCCAGACAAGTTTGCAAATTGCAGAAAAACAAATATATAGCCTAGAATATATATAGAAAATATACATTTTAAATGTACAATTTTTATTATTTTCTCAAAATTCTATAAATATACATCAAACTTCTATTCATTTGTTTATCTATTTAATTTTTAACTTGGATTTTTTTTACTTTTTACTATACAGTTGAGAGCAGCCCGGAATTAAAATGACGGAAATGAGATCAGGTCACAATACAGTTCAGATTCAAACCTGCATTTCAGCACATGAAGCACATGTGCTAACCGCACTGAACATTTTAATAAAAGGAAGCAGCTGGGATTAGATTAGCTCTGACAGAAACTGGGTCAAGGTTACAACTCAGTAACCTGCTCTCAATTCCACTCATATTTCTGAGATTCAGCTCTGAAGTCTGGCACTGTTTCAGACTCTGCTCATGTCCTCTAACCAGAGGCTGTTCGGTGCTAATAAAACCCAACACGCTGTGAGATTTTGCTACCATTTGTGGAATAAGAGATTAAACAAAAATCAGGTGGAACATTGATTCCAGTAGCATTGCTCTCGGTTTAGAGTTTCTAAGGTGATTTTAAACAACCTCGTTGTGGTTTAATAAGCGTGGCCAGGTTTCCAAATCTTTACCACAAAATGCCAAGCTACATCTTCACATTCACAGCCACTGAAACCAACCGTTCTATTTCATGTTGATGGAACAGAAATGTCTGTTGTGTTGCATCAACATCCCAAGAAGAACCAAAGGATTCTCAATGGTCAACACGACTGAAAATCTTGGCAGCAGATGTTCTTTCTCTCCAGTCCAGAGAGGACCGAGATCAAAGACATGAAGACATGACATTCAGAATAAAAAAAACAACTGGTCTTCACTTCCATCTGATCCCAAGAAAGTCCATAGAGTGGTTTATAACTGTCGAAGTAGTCTGAAGGTAAAGATCTCCAGTTTGACGGTATCTAGCTCGCAAAACAACATTTTTCCATTTCTTAATAACATTTTGATATCTTAAGAAGAAGAAAATCTCACAAAAGGAGGTATTTCCCAGAGAAAAGCACAGAATAAAAGCAAAAAAATAGGTCTAGTCTTAAAAAACTCTCAGGCTCTTGAGATCTTTCCATAATGGCTTATCTAATAAACCATGATTCCTATATTTAAATATCTTCTAGGCACATTTAATGTGATTTTATTGCTGTTTTAGTCAATTGCACCGGTCTTTAGAGAATCTGCTTCCTTTGGGAGGCTGGTTTAAGCACCACCAATGTTTGAAGGCAAGCCTCATGCTTTTGGCTTTTTAACAGGAATAAAGCCAACTCCCACAGGCAGTGCTTGCGCTATTGCGAGAAAAGGGCTCCAAATAACAGCATCCCACCAAATCGCATATGTTGTGGCCTATAAAAATTTGACAAACCTTGACCTACAGTTATAAACGCATCAACCGATGAAACATAAAGGCAAGGAACTTGGAGAACTCTAATGGCATTGAGCTCTAAAACGCTTCCAACTGAAACCAAATCTAGGCACAAGTTGTATCTGAAGGCTTACTTTGATGGACGAATGAGCGTAGAGCATGTCCTCCAGATTGAAGTGGCAGCAGTGGTTCAAGTGTTCCTTGCAGAAGTCCTGGATGAGTTGCAGGTTGTACAGACTGTCTGCCAGCGACATGGTCTCCTTCAGGCAAATGTCTGCAAATCAAAGACGATTCAAAGTGCTACACTAATCAGGCGCAACTCACTGACAGATCATCTGGCATATTTGGTAGATTTGACAAGGACTCAACCAATCACAGAGAAGCCCATTAATCATGGAGTCTAAATGACAGTCACGTGATTGACTTTTGCCTTTGGAGATAAATGTAGTTGCATCCATCATTTGATTTCACAGCTCGGTGGAGAATCAGCTCTAGTCCTCTTCATCACTGTGATGGGATTAACAATGAGTTCAGGATGATTAAAGTCACATAAACGTTTGAGATTTCTAATTGAGTAGCTATTGTAAAAGACTATTGTATTCACTATTTTAAAGCAAAATGGCTGAAAAGGATCTGTAGCACGTTTAAAAATAACATTCAAAAATAATATTATATGTAAGTTGCAAGTTCGTTTCCCTCCAATGATCCAATCTCAAAGTTTCAGACATTAAAGATATGAGGGAACCAAGAGGAGGAAGCTTATAGACTACTTCAAAAGGTTACTACTGAGCATTTGTGTTCATAGCAGAGAATTTTAGTTTGTCAACTGATATTTTTTGTAGGCTTTGCATACGCATGTGCATCCCTTGAAAAGCCTGAAACCACAGAGCCTCTTACATAACAAATCCCAATATAACTTCTGATTATATTTATATTTTTTCCACAATTTTTTTTTCTATGTAGATTTTAATTTTCTATGGTTTTATTGTGAAATGTTATGAAACAAAAACATTTGTCTGGGCTTTAACAACTTAAAATATTGCATAATATTTTTAAAATATTGAGGGGAAATATAAATATAATAATATTATACTTGTATTACTACAATACATTTTTTTATAATATAAAAATATCACACTACTATTGCAGATATTGCTTTTTATGATGAAATATTTTGAAAAAAATTCAATTGTATCTCGTAGAATATTTTAAAAATATAGTGAAAAAAGGAATAAAATAATATGAAACTTTTATTAGTACTATAATTTGTAATAATATAAAATAGTAAAATAATACACAATTATTGTGGATATTGTTTTCTTTGATGAAAAAAAACATTTGTCTAATGTTTCTTGTATAATATTTTACAAACATTGTGGAAAAAATAGAAATATAATCATATACGTATGTAATAATACTTATATTTATATATTTAATAATACAAAAACATAAAAGTAATAAACATTTGATGATATTGTTGTTTAATGAAATGTTATAAAATGTGCTTATTGTATATTCTAAAAACAATTTTAAATATTGTGAAAAAATAGAAATATAGTAATATTAAACTTTTATTAGTCGTTTTAATTAGTAATTTTTAATAATAAAAAATATTAAAATAATGCACAATATTATTGTGGATATTGTTTGATGAAAAACATTTGTGAAATATTGTGGGGGAAAAAAAGAAATATCAAGATAATAATATCATACTTGTATTAATATTAATACAAAGTATTATTAAATAATTTAATAATACAAAAATATAAAAGTAAACATTATATTTGATTGTTTTGTTTTTAAATGAAATGTTATAAAATGTGCTTATTGTATATTCCAAAATATTTTTTTAAATATTGTGGAAAAATACAAATATAATATACTTATATTAATACTATATTGTTTTATTTTATAATTTAAAAATATTAAACTAACACACAACATCACTGTGTATGTGTTTTTTTAGTGCTGTCAAATGATTAATCGCGATTAATCGCATCCAAAATAAAAGTTTTTGTTTACATAATATATGTGTGTATACTGTGTATATTTCTTATGTATATATAAATACAAACACATGCATGTATATATTTAAGAAAAATATGTTACGTTTATATATTAAATATATTTATATTATAAATTATATGAATATAAATATATACATGTAAATGATTTCAAAATATTTACATGCATGTGTTTGTATTTATATATACATAATAAATATACACAGTACACACACACATATATATTATGTAAACAAAAACGTTTATTTTGGATGCGATTAATCGCGATTAATCATTTGACAGCACTAGTTTTTTTTTTAAGAAATGTTAGGAAAAAACATTCATCTATTGTATATTTATTACATTCGTCTATTGTACATTTTCAAAATGTTGTGAAAAAATATCTCCATGAGTATATCATCCACTGTCATGATATTAAAATAACCCTGGATTTTTGCACATCACATGCATTTCTACTGCTGATCTGTGTACAATAACAGCATGTGTAAGTAAATACGGTTGGTTTTGATTCAACAGCTCCCGCACATTATTCCCTCTGATCGTTGCGTATTATTTTGTGCTCAGTAATGTTGAGGGTTTGGCAGGTTTCTGTACCTCCCAGGTGGACGATGGCGGGACAGTAAAAGTGCAGCAGGGCTGCGAGGGCACAGCCATCTGTGCTGTCCTTCAGGAGGTTGTCCACCGGAGGGATCCATGGCACCATCTTGGGCAGAACCTGCTCCTTCCTATAACGCGCCTGGAGCAAACAGACATAAACAAATGACTCAGTAGAGCAAAACACATCTGATAATAACATACAGAGAGCTCATGATGGACCAGTGTATGGAAAAGCACTGAAAATAAGACATGCAATGGGAACTTTAACGGATGTTGACATAAAATCTATTTTTCACTCAGCCTAATATAAATATTTCTCTGTCAACAGTTTATTGCATGGTTAATGAAGCTGAGGACGATGTGAAAGCGTCGTCATGGAAACAGAAACATGATGGAGCCACGAGATGGAAGAAGGCGTTTCTCAATCACACTTACAGGAACCAGCTTCGTATACCACTTGGTTGGAGACTTCAGTCAGTCAAAGAATGAATGAGAGAGAGAGGGAAAGAGCAGTTACGTCAGCGAGCTGAGACTATTTAACGCAATCAGCTGTTTACGTCCATAACAGATTAAGTGTGATGATATCGTCTTTACTAGAAACCAGATTACAAGAAAACAAACAGTGAAACTCTTGCCCCCGGTTTCACAGACAAGGCTTAAGCCTAGTCCCAGACTAAAATGTAAGTCTGAGCTGTTTCAACTGAAAGAAACTTGCACTGATTGATCTTAAATAGGGATGTAACGATTAACCGCGAGCCGGTTGAAAATCGATTAAAACAAATCGCGATTAATTTAGGGCTAGGAGTTTATATGAATGTATGTCTGAGGGGAACTTACGACAAATTTAATTTATAATTTCTTAAATCTCATTTTGTAAAAAAAATAAAATGAATCGTGAATCGTGAAATCAAAATCGTGAATCGAATCGTGAGTTGAGTGAATCGTTACATCCCTAATCTTAAATATATTATAAAACAATGCCTTTGTTTTGTCTCAAGAGGGACACCAGTAAAGTTTTTTTTGTTCCTAAGGCACGCTTATAAAAATGACTTAAATGTCCTAATTAAACTATGGCCTAATGCTGGCTTAGTCTAAGCCCTGCCAATGAAACTTGGGGCCTGTTTCATAAAACAAGTTTACCAAATAAGCCAGGTTTATTTAAGTTAGTCTGACTTATTGTCAGCTGATTTGGTTCAAAATAAATCAGACTAACTGAAATAAGCCCGGCTTATTTGGTAAACTTGTTTTATGAAACAGGCCCCAGGCCTTGAAGCTTGAGGCAGGTTTAGTACTTTTCAAACAAACAAACAAACAAACAATTTCGTAAACCTCTATTGGTCAATATTGGATTTTATTTTACTTATTTATTTTGTGACGTTAATTTCACCTATTTTTACATTTAGATTACCTTTATAACACTGAAATGCCTTTCATCATCCACAGTTAATTTCATTTGACTATTTATTGTTTTATTTTTTATTTATTTAAACAAAATACTTTCGAATTTTCACCGAGACTGAATCACTGAGAAAGAAATAGAAACCAAGCCACCAAAAAAGTGCTTGCTTGTCGCGGTCAGGCTGGTTCCTGCCATGTTTTTAGTTTTCACAGTTTTAAGCTTCTCTCAACTTTTTAAGGCTTAAATGACTGTAATAAAAGAGGAGTAGCATCAAAAGCAAGCCAAAATAACTGTAGGGGTCCAAACTGAAGAAGAGAAAAACTGATGCTCTCTGATCTAAGAGACATTAAACCCTGTGAATCACAATATGAATGCATTTTTACCCAGAATGCCCTAAGAAGACTGCAAAGTTACAGGATTAGTCTTTTGCCAGCGGATTAAGTCTAGAAACAAGTGTGAGCTTGAGACCTGTAAAATTAAAATGTGAAACATATAAATAATATTTTTATTTATATATATTTTTTTATTTTTTTATACAAATATTTTGTATTATTTCTATATTAATAAAATATTATTCTATTAAAATATAATTTATTGTTACATACCTATATAAATATTTTAGGGGGTATACAGTCAAATATACACGTACATACGGTTTAATATAAAATGATAATTAATATCTTTTAATAAGATTAATTATTAATTATATTTGTATTCATTTTGAAATATGTATAC